TATCGACTTCTGTTTGTTTTGCAAAAGTTCTGTTGGTTACTGATCATTATTGGTATATCTGATTATTAATTAATCTTGCTGCGAATGTTTTGGGAAGTCTTATTCACCAATTCGCAGTGAAACATGAAGTGGATGTAATCAATTTTAGAGTTCTTCTAAACCAATTGTTTTAACATATGTTACCATTGGCTTTCTGAAACTTATGGTAATGGTTTCTTTTTTTCATTTTTCTTTTGCTTTTGAAATCCTATTGTTTTTCTTCAAACTCACTTTTCTGTTTTTTTTTTTTTTTTTTTTTTATGATCAGCCAAACTGCGTTGCCTTTTTTTTTTTTTTGTCAATTTACATGATCAGCCAAACTACGTTGCCAAAGTAATTTCTATGAGGAGTGAAAAGAAGGTAATGTTCCATTTAATGTATATTTAATAATTCAAAAAATTGAGAAAAAAGAATCAACATTTAGAAAGGCAAACCTTTATAATGTATTACACCTTATAATATATATTGTATATAAACTATCTTATGGTCCCAGTTAGTTGTGAGTCTACTCTGAAAGCCCAAAGTTGTACCATCATGCCCATTGTAAGACCACAACTGGTCACAACTGAAAATCAATTCTTCACCAAATTGTATGGGTAGGTAGTATGGCCTGAATCCTTCTTCATCTCCCACTGCTTCAGGCTAACCATAGTCTCTCATTGGCAGCAAGGCTCGATGAGGCGTGCCTTAATCTCCGACATGTGTTTTCCAATTCGTGTGTTGAGTAACACCTTCTCTTCCTCTGTCAGGAATTCAGTAGTCTTGATCGGGGTAAGCGGAATAGAGAAATGACCTAGAACCTTGTTCACATCAGTCTTGTACAATGGCTTCTGAATCAGCAAAACCACATCAGAACCCCTCTTCGATTCTAGTCGTAGTCCTGAATATCACAGACATCTATGGGGTAGTCGTGTCTGGTAGAACTGAAGTAACAACCATCATCCTCTTGATCCTCTTCTTTGTCCCACCATACTCACTCTCATTCTCATAAGCATTATCAGAGGATAGCCATTTTGGACCAACAGATTTAGTTTTCTTCATCATCGGTAATAAATTTCATGATCTTATTTTCTTGGTGAGAGACAGAAACAGATACAGAAACAGAAACAGAGACATCAAATGGGTTGGTAGCAGGATTCAAGGAAGGTGTCTCTGTGATCAACAATGCTTTAGCCTTTGATGAATGATCAACAGTGGATGTGAATGAACTGTGGATAATCCTTCTTATTAATCTTTTGGTCTTTGGTACGCAAACTGAGAATGCAAGAGATGGGTGTTCATTGGGGGCCATCTCTCTCATCGTCATCGTCATCATCAGGAACAAGAACCGGGCATGAACCAGAAGCAGAAGCAGAAGCAACAACAGGGGTCTTAAAGATATGATGAGAACTAGGGTTTTGTGGGTCATTGTATAGACCAAGGTAGTAAGCATTGACATCATCAAAAATTGGAGGGTTTTTTTATCATTCTTCGGATGATCTTCAATCTCTCTTCGCTTTGCAACTGAGACAATGTCATTGATGAAGCCTCTAACAACTCATCAAACATAGACCACTTGGGGTTGCCCACTAAATCATCATTACTCAACTCATCCTCTTCTTCTCCATCTTTCTTCTTCTTCTTCTAGTATGTAGAAACAGATAAACAGAACAGAGACAAAAACAGAGGTTTGTGTGAAAGTAAGTGAAATTTGTGACATTACAGTATAATACGTGTAGTACATAGATGTATGTGTATATATAGGTTTGAGAGATCATCGTATATGGAAAGGATTTGGAAGCCAGATCGAACTAGGAAACTATTGGGTTTTTGGGGAAAACCTTGATACTCAAGTTATCGAAATTAACTAACTTGGGTACTAAAGAGTATCTAAGAGATTTTGGGGGTTTTCTAGCCGTTAATTACCCAAACTCTCTCTCTCATACACACATTTCATTTTTTATAAAAAAACGAGGGTGTGTCTTCATAAACATTTCATTTTTTACAGGAGAAAATATTTCACCAATGTGGAGAGATAAGAGAGTGACGATCAATGGTGTGGTCAGAAATTTTTTTTAGTGGTGTCATTTAATTAATCATCATTGGTGTTTTTAAATTATGTATTATATACATGATTTTAATAAATATAATAAAGGTAAGAGAAGTGAAGTTTGTCTCCGCTCTACTTCCTCATCAGAGTAGGATAAACCCGTGCTAAATGGGGTTGGGATGCAAGGTAGAGCAGAGCGGAGCGGAAAAAATGACCATCTCTAGTTTGGCCAAATAGTGCCTCCCCTTTGTATAGGCAACCTTGTGTTTAGAATGTATAATTAATGTGGTGTATGAAATTCTTTTGGAGCCTTCCACAACCTTTCTAACATTTCTAGAACTATTTAGAATCTACTCTAGGATTGTCTATACAAGTACAAGAATTGTGTACAATATTTTTTGCATTCTCTCAAACTTTTTAGGAGGTTATGAAATCTTTCATTAACCTCCAATGTTCCAACGCTCTTCTGGTGGAGATTTTTTGTAGATAGTGGCGTAACCAAAAAATTTATTTAATCAATGTTGTCATTACATCAAATTTTTACTTCTTTAACTCTTGTCAAAATAAATTTTTACATATCTACTATATACTGAAATATCATGTATGATAATATTACAAAGTAATTCAAATTAGTCAAATTACATAGCAATACTTAGGCACATTAATATATTATTTCTTTAATAAAATTAAAGAAAACGTGAATACAATTTTCAATCAATCAAATAGAGAGAAGAGACAAAATGATTATTTTTGAGAAAAAATAAATAAATATCTTTGTAAGCAATTATTGAAAAATTTACCCATAAATCTGATATGGGAAAATGTTGATCTATTTAGTTTTAAGAGTTTTTTTATAAATCAATTAGTCATTTTTTATTTTGAAAAGTTGTATTTGTTTTATTTGGTGTCATTTGATTTTAAGTGAATGTCCTTTTGTGATTTTTTTTTTTAAAAATTTTCTGATTCATTTTTGATATGGGAATGGAAATAAGAGGTGTGGAAGATTTTTTTTGGAGAGATTGGTAGCTGAAGTTAATTGTTGAGTGTGAAAATCTTTATGTTAGTGTGGTGTTTTAGTGTTACATTGAAGTATTATATTAGAGTATTACGTTTGAAAAAAGTACACTAACAAGTTTTTGTGTATTACATTAATTGGAATATTACGTTTAGGAAAAATACACCAAAGAGTTTTTTTAGAATGTTACATTGTTACGTTTGAAAAAAATACACTAAAATTTTTTTTAGTATATTATATTGGAATTTTACGTTTTTGGAATGTTACATTTGAAAAAAATATACTAAGGAGTTTTTTTTTAATGTTACATTGTTATATTCGAGAAAAATACACGATGAATTTTTTTTAATATATTACATTAGAGTGTTATATTTTTAGAGTATTACATTGGAGTTTTATATTTGGAAAAAAAGTACACTAAGAATTTTTTTTCGAAGTGTTATAAAATTTTAATATTATAAGAAAACTCACGTTGTTCCTCAATACATTACACACGCTCATTTGTACTTTGTCCTTTATGTAATTTACACTAGAATGAGACATTTGGGTTTATAAGAAAAAAAGGGAAGATCAAACAATTCATATGATCACTATTTAGAATTTATTGGAGTTTCATCCTTAAAAATTCCATGTTTTAAAAGAAATCTATTTTTTTTTTACTTCATCTGTGTCAAAATATTAGTCCTTTATTGCATTTTTCATTATCCCAAAAGATTAATCCCTTTTCAAAATGACTAAAATAATATGAATTTCTTATTTTGCTTTTCTTTTAAATTCATTAATAATACAAAAAATACAATTATGACAATTAATATTTCCCAAAAAAATGTATTATCAAAGGGTAATTTTGAAAAATTATTTTTTTTAAAATACAATAATTGTATTATCAAAAAAATTAAATTCCCTAAAAATGACTATTAATTTGGAACGGATGGAATAATATATTGCCTAGTTTTTTTTTTTTTAAATAAAAAAATCGTGCTTTAAAAGAAGTCTATTTAGAATAAAAGACAGTTTTAATACCTACAGCACGCATTATTTTTCATTTTAATCTTTTAAGTTTCAATTTTGATAATTTGATCATCGAAGTTGTCAATTTGATCCTAACTCTAATGTCCGTCCATATTGACATTATGAGTATGAATAAAAAACAATTTTGATCAATAAATATGCGTTTCTTGTTATTTTAGTCCTTCAAATTTTAAATTTTATTATTTTGATCCCAACTCAAAATGACAACTTTCAGAACCAAAATGACAATCTAAAATTTGAGAGACTAAAATGATAAAAAACACATACTTTAATCACCAAAACTATCTTTTCTCTGAGAATTAGATACTTTTTTTGTTATCAATATAAACTGACGTTAGAGATAAAACTAAATTGATTCAAATTAATAACTTTCAAGACTAAAATGACAACTAAAACAAGAAAAACTAAATTAACAAAACACACATTTTAAAGACTAAAACTATCTTTTATCCCTCTATTTATATATAAAATTTATACCAACAGGAAAAAATCACAAAAATGATGTCATAAATAAAAAATAGTTTCATAGGTGTTTTATTGTGAAGTGAAAAATCTATATTAAATTACATCATTTTAAACAAAAAATTAAATATGATTTTTTTTTTTAAAACTATTATTCCGAAAAAAATGATATCATGATATTTATTATGTCAACAAGACTACACTCGCCATATTTTTGCATCATATTTTATTTACTATCTAATGTGTGACATACAGAATGATTGTTATAATGTTCAACTATAAATAATTATTCGTGCTAAACAAAAAATGATATAAAAATATAATAAGCATAGAATTAATTATTTTTTTAAACAAATTTTTTTGTCGTTGATAAATCCATTTTTTAAAAAAGTAATTTTAATAGTGTCAATTTATAAAAACCTCTAAAAAAAATTTAAATAATACTACATAATTCTGAAAAAAAAAAAGAAAAAAAAAGTTGAGAGGCTCAATTGAACCCGCCCATGGTGACAACCAAAGAAACTTGTACCAATATGATACAACATTTAAAGCACAACCTGATGCAGATACAACTTACAAGCCCGAGATTGACACCTACACACAAATTGATATCGTTCTGGAAAACAAGCGTTTCATTCAAGGATTGGAAATCATCACCTTCGCTCAATTTAGATATCGCCTGCAATTTTTGGAATTACAAAAACATGGAATTTTTTTCCCTTCATCCTCATGATTGAAATGGTAGTCATATGTTATCTCTTCTCCAGGGTATATGTCTCTCTCCGCAAAAAAGACAACCTGCACGCACACAAACCAATACTGATTTGGTCTTTTGACCTTCCCCAGAATCTACTAGTATCAGCTAAAAAACTAAGGAAATATTCGGATGCAACTTCAAGAAGGAATGGCCTATATTGGCTATTATACTACCATCTAATACATTAAATAGAACAAACATTACCTTCTTATCACTCCTCACAGAAATTACTTTGGCAACGCAGTTTGGCTGGTCATGTAAATTGACAACAAAAGAAAAATGAGTCGAAGAAAATTTAAAAAATAAGGATTTCAAAAGCAAAAGAAAAAAAGAACCATTACCAAAAGTTTCGGAAAGCCAATGGTAACATATGTCAAAACAATTGATTTAGAGGAACTCTAAAATTGATTACATCTACTTCATGTTTCACTGGGAATTTGTGACCAAGACTTCCCAAAACATACACAGCAAGATTAATTAACAATCAGATATACCAATAATGATCATTAACCAACAGAAGGAATAAAAGCATACATTCTTAACTTATGGCTAAACTTTTGCAAAACAAACAGAAGTCGATATATGGAATAGAGGAAATTACCAGGCATGAATGATTAACAAAACGAGCAATCCCTCCCTTGTGGGTGGCATCAATAATATGCTCTTTATCAATCCTAAAGAAATAGCAAGCGCTCTTGTACTGAAGCTTTCTTCCAAACTGATACTCATTTTCCCTTTTATCAGCCACACGGAGCCCTACAATCTCACCAACATACTCAACAACCTAAACACAAAAAGAAAGCTTACAAACTTACGAATTTGCTTATTGTAACAAGAATAGATTTTTTCAACTCATGCCATGGAAAAGATCTAACCATTGCACCGCGATAAATGAACTGGGATGTATAGAGACCAAGAGCATGTATGCCTGACTTGTATACTACCAAATGTTTCCAACCTTTTGATTGTCTATAATGAGCATATGCTTTCTGCAAGTGAAGAAAAACGCCATATACTAGATCAGTTATAACAAGGCCAATTGGAGCATTCAGCAACTGAACTAAAGGCTAAGCACTCCCCACTCTTTGCCTACAATTCCTATTTGCATTTACATCTTAGAAAGAAATTAAGTAGGCACAGATTACATTAGATATAGATTAAATTCTACAGTAAAGCACATAATTTCCTCAAAGTTGATTCAATCACTAGATGACAATCGTCATAATCTAAGGAACTTGTATATACCCGGCAATCATACTCAACATCTGAATTTGGCAGCTTTGGAAGCCCTTTGGTGCGTGAATTCTGCCTATTAATGTGAAGCCATGCATTTAATTGCTCTTGTGGAACAACACATCCACCACTGCCGTTAGATTGACTAGGAAGATTATGACGAAAGCCTTCCCGTTTACGACCTTTGTAACCCTATATCAAAAGAAAATTAACATTAAGAGTACAGAAAATCATGGTTCCCTAATATGCAAATGTGCCTAATACTTCAGTCAATTGACATAATACCTCTGTTCTCGCACATGTGTATTCTTTATCCCCAGGATGACCAGTTTCAGTGCCAATAGGATCACCATCTGAATCACACCGGAAGTATGTCGCATGAAGCGCACATCTCCCATAAAAACCAACACTCTCATCATCAACACCTTCAACCTCGCTTTGCAGCAGACCCTGCACCCAACATGACTAAGAAGTGACTAGTGTAAACAGAAAAATAGTTAAAAGAACAGCCCCTATTGCTTTTACTAATAGTAATTTACTATTTCTTCAGTATAGCAATCTCAACACTAAAAAAATTTTGAGGGTTGGCAAAATGTCTAGGCAAGGTTCAGCCAAGGCCCCACTTGTAAATGTGCGCTAGCCTATGCACCTAGGCAACAGCAGGATATACCAAACTTATATAGGTCACAGCATTCATAGTAGAATCTTCCGAAAACATATGCTAATTACACACATAATGTAAAAATTCAGAGATGAACGAGTGGCATAAATCTAGTCTAGTAAAATTATGTGCCTAACACACAGAAACATAACTTCTCAAAGGCCCAACTTCAAGTAAATATGAACATAGTAAGTGGGGAATAAAGGAAACCAATGCTGGACAGATTAGGTAACTAAGGACTAAGGTTGTCTAAATTAGGAATTGTGGTGGGTTTTGTTATTGTCGTGGAAAGTTTCCATGGCTAAGAAGCACAGACATGGACAAGAGACGGATATGACACAATACAAACACGTCAATACTGCAATTTATAAAAAGAAAAAGAAAAAGAAAAAGAAAAAGAAAAAGAAAAGCATAATAAGATAGGGACATGTCAACAAATAAATACAAATATATATATATATATATATATATTTACATGTATACATAAAACTAATAAAAAAATAATTCATTTTCTACAAAATAAAATGCATCCATATTTTATTGCATCAAGTATTAAGAAATCAATTTCCAAATCCTTTATATTTAAAACAAAATGTGAATAATAAATCCTTAGTTTACCCTTAGAAATTCTAAAATTAAGAAACCTATAGAGGATGGATTAATAAGTAAAAATACACATTTGGATTTTAATCATTGGCTCCCAAGCTATTTTTTGAACCTTCCTAAGTATTTCATGTATGTCTAAGCAATAGACACGTGTCCATGTCTAAAGAATGTCCCAAAAAAAATCAGAAAAGCAATATGACGTATCTGGATGCCTATCCAACAAGTGTCGGGGAGGATCCAACATGGACAGGACACATTCTTAGAAGTGTCATAAATTTTTTGGTTCTAGGGTTAGGGTTCTATAAGGTAGAAGAAAACTTCTAGCATCTTCTAAGAGGAAAGGTTAAATTGGTTCAATTTAAAAAGTCTCAATGTTGCTGGATTCACAGAATTGGCATGATTGAAGGGCCTAAACATAATTTTTTAGCGGTTTTATTGTTAATTTGAAGGACAATAGGTAGGCGAAAGGTTTGGGCTTAAATAGAGCTTGGTAAATATGCCCAGCGGTGTCTAACCAATAATATACAAAATTACATAATTAATTAAATAAATAAATAAAATAAAAACTTGATTTGACTTATAAAAAGTTTATAAATATCCAAGGTGTGCTCCATGTGAAATTGCAAATTTGCCCATCTTTTCTTTCCATGCACAAAAAGGAAAGAAAGAAAAAAAAGAAGGCTGAAACGAAAAGCTAACAAATTAAATTACTAAGACAGTAACTATTACATCATTCATTACAAATAAAACCTACGAAAGAAAGCATTTATTCTAAAAGAAACCATTACTATTTAGCCAATAAAGTAAAACAACTATTTTTTAAAAACTAAATTTGTGAAAAGTGGACTTAAAGCATGCATCCAAAAAAAAAATGACCAGCCAATCTGAAAGTTGGGCATCAAAAGAAGTAGAAACCTTTTGGTGAGCACACCAAGGATGAAATGGTACAGAGCAATCACAAACGCGACACTGTATGCAACAACCACCTGATCGGTTACACAATGAGCAAATCTGGAAAAAATAATAAAACACATTAGTTGTACTGTATATAACCATGAAAACATGAGCAGCTAAGGGCCTCCTTATCATTTTCAAAAACCACGTCGTTTTTGAAAACAAGTTCTTGGTTTTCATTTTCAAAATTTTGGAAATGGAAAATGACAAATTTTGAAAGTGCTGCCAGGTCAGGTGCACCATACAGACAATATTATGATGAACCATCAAGAATCCTACTCTAGCCTTACAGGTATCATTAAGAACCTCAACGCTCACCGCATTTGCTTTAGGACAAGAAGCACCAGATACATCAAAAGCACTCATGGTGTCAACATTCGGGCAGCGTGTTCCTGGTGTCCAGAGTCCACAAACCATATGAACCCACTGCTTAACAGTTGAATCAAGAACTCCCGCTGTTATGCTGTTGTTGACCTTTAAGTTACTAGAAGAACGAGGTGAAGTCTTTACAGAGTCCAATTGTTTCTGCAGATCCATTTTCAATACCGCACAAGGCTGAATATGTACAGGTCTGATGACAGGAAATGAATCGGTCTCATGTCCAGATGTTGACGTACTCAACATGCTGAACCTATCCTCCAAAACTTCAGAAAGTGAAATTACATCCTTAGGCCCAGATTCTGTAACAATGTTCCAAGCTTTCAAAAGGCTTTTCACAATGTTACGACTTCGTAGTGCTCGAGTCATGGCACCACCTCCGTAACCACAGAGAACACAAACCTAATGCCAATGAGCCATGAATTCTGATGCATTAGACAAGTATAAGACAAACATATAAAGAGAAAAAAAATTTAAAAAAATATTTGCATGCATAACATATATATCACTCTGCAACAGAAACTGGTAACAAATGAAATTCAGTGGAGAAATTCAATCAAGTGAAAAAATGGTTGATTAGCAAGTACATGTAGAACAGCTATTTAGCAAAAGGTCCAATTTCAAGCTGTCATACCATGATAAATTTTGTATTTAAAAAAACAAAAAATCAATGTCCACATGGAGAGAGTCCAATTTACTATTTATCTCAACTTAGTTCCATAGAGTGCTAAATATATTTGTAAACAAGACAAACTATGCAAATTAGATATTATTAGCCATGTGTGCTTTTTCCTTTTTTTATATTTTATTTACTACCAAACTCTAGACATAGATTGACTATCCAATGCTTACTCATACATAAATATATAGTGTTTGTTGATATACATTATTGAGTACATTTCCAAATAGAACATGGTATCATAGTAGGCAATGGATCATGTGTTTGAACCTTACTGCCTACCCCATAAATTTAATTATAAAGGAGTTTGACCCTTAGTAGCAGGAATCGTTCATGCTGCTCACGATTCTTTGTCAGAAGCGCGATTTTGCACTTCTAACTCAAATTCGTTGAAGAATCGCGATTTTGATGCAAAAGAAACGTGAATCTGATCACAAATCTGTCTTCTTCTCAGTCGGAGCTCCATCGCTGGCCATCGCAAGACCTACACAGGCCATCGCAGACTTCTCCCTTCCTCCTCGCTGGTCTTCGCGAGTCGCACAAAGGCCATCGCGACTTCTCTCTCCTCTTCGCTGGTCTTCGCGACGTCTCCCTCTTCGCTGGTATTCGCGAGTCGCACACAGGCCATCGCAACTTCTCTCTCCTCTTTGCTGGTCTTAGCGTGACGTTTCTCTCTCTCTGATCTTCTCTTCTCAGATTAAAGATGTATATATAATACGTATAATGTATATATATATATTTGACTCCTCGCTGGTCTTCACGAGTCGCACAAAGGCCATCGCGACTTCTCTCTCCTCTTCGCTGGTCTTCGCGACGTCTCCTAGAATATTTTAACATATAATTTTTTATAATTCTTATTTATTTATAACATGTATAGTCCCATAAAAAAAAATATAATCTTACAATATATTTTTATATATTATTTAAAATATATACAAACGCTCCCAACTAATGATTCTTAAAATGTCTACGATTCCACGCTCTCGCTCCCGCTCCCGCTTTGTGCAACTAAGGTTTGACCACACATGAATAACATAGTTACCTCTCTTTCTAATAGTAATAACTTATGTTTTGGGGACAGTTAGTTACTTAACATGGTATTAGAGCTCTGGTTCCATGAGGTCCTGGGTTCAAGTCTTGTTACCAATGTGGGTTCACCTGTTATCCCTATTACTCTGTGTTGGTGCACCCTGCTTAAGTGTGTTTGGCTCTTTACATGCAGCTTAGTCTTTTAGATGAGTCGGTGATCAAGATTCAACAACTAGAGACAATATTGTTAAAATAATGTATTGTAAAAATTACTCAACCGTGTGTGGACCATCCAAATTACCTACCATATCTCACTGAAACATGACAAATTTCAACTGCCAAAAACAAATACAGTTTCCACTGAGGGTTGACCAATCAAATACAAATTCAACTGATGCAAATACTTTAACAAAAATAAAAAAAAAATTAAAATAAAAATCAACAAAATTGCATAATACAAAACTCTCTTGTAAGAATAAATAAAGCACAATAATGAACATGATGCCCAAAAACCAAAAGGGAGCAACTTGTGAAGGAGTGAACCACGCGATAACTTACAATATTTTTGGAACTTGTCCGGCATGGTCTGCAATACCAACGACCCCTGGGTACTTTGGAAACACCATAGCAAGCCTGGTGCACCTACTCACCATAACACTAATCAATCTTACAAAATCATAACAGAAACTAGGAAAAAACTTAAGTTAAACATGATCTGTATAGCTACATACCCTGATTAAGCATCGACCACAATCCAATAAGCAATTAATTTCATCATTATTCGAACTTCCGCAAACACAGCAGAATGCATCCAAATCTGAAATAGAGGACTGGCACTGGTGCATTTCAGTGGATCTGAACCATAGCCCAAAATGATCAGCATCTTCATGATTAAACTATTGCAATTCATGGATGAAAGCTAGGATAAACATTCTGCTATCAGTATATAAGCTAGACTAGCAAAATATTTGAGTCGGTGATCAAGATTCAACAACTAGAGACAATATTGTTAAAATAATGTATTGTAAAAATTACTCAACCGTGTGTGGACCATCCAAACTACCTACCATATCTCACTGAAACATGACAAATTTCAACTGCCAAAAACAAGTACAGTTTCCACTGAGGGTTGACCAATCAAATACAAATTCAACTGATGCAAATACTTTAACAAAAAAAAAAAAAAAAAAAAATTAAAAAAAAAATCAACAAAATTGCATAATAAAAAACTCTTTTTGTTATTTAATTATGTGAATCCGTGGTCCTAAACCGATCCAATCCGTATTTAAATGGATTGGTTCGGATTGGTTCCATGATTTAAACGAATTGGATTGGTTCCAATTTTTTAAGAACCGTAGATAACGGATTGGTCCTGGTTTTATCCCAATCCGGTCCAATCCGGACCATGCTCACCCCTAAAACTAGGAAAAAACTTAAGTTAAACATGATCTGTATAGCTACATGATCTGTATAGCTACATACCCTGATTAAGCATCGACCACAATCCAATAAGCAATTAATTTCATCATTATTCGAACTTCCGCAAACACAGCAGAATGCATCCAAATCTGAAATAGAGGACTGGCACTGGTGCATTTCAGTGGATCTGAACCATAGCCCAAAATGATCAGCATCTTCATGATTAAACTATTGCAATTCATGGATGAAAGCTAGGATAAACATTCTGCTATCAGTATATAAGCTAGACTAGCAAAATATTAATCAAGATACAAGGGTATAACTGGATTGCTTACTTGGCACTATATGTTCCACCCACATTATGTTTACCATCATCAGCATTCTTTAAAAACTTTGCCAGATATCTGCATTTTGTTTGTGGTACACATTTTGAGGCCTTAAGAGCAGGAGTATCTACACAGATGGAATCCTTCCCTGATGATAGAAAAAACATCATTTGCATAAAAAAGCACATTACAAGGGGCCAGAGATTATGGAACTACAATTAAAATATGGTATGATAAACAAATGGAACTTAAAATAACACTATAAAGGGGGAAAATATCTTTTAATGACCAGTATTGTTCTTCCACATTTGAATCGTAATTCTTACGTTTACCCTCTTCAGCATTCTTAGAGAGAGCCAATATGCTACCTAATTGTCAGCTTTACCTAGGGAGCCAAAGTCACCTGCAATAGGAACTAGGCGGACCAAAGTAGCAGGGCAGTCACTAATGTAAATCAAAGCATCATCATGGCTTGCTTATTAGCTGGCCAGATTTATGAACAAATTATGGTACATAAGAAATTTCTTTAACACAAACAACATTTTGAACATTAGTCGACATAACATTAGTGTTAGAATTTCCCATCTTTACCTTCACCTACTCCACTACACACTCCACTTCACCTACCTCCACTTCACCACACACTCCACTTCACCTAACCCACTATCACCTCCACTACACCTACTACCACATTTTCTTCTATATATAGATTGTATAGGAATTGTAATTAATCAATCTTGTAATACATCAAGATCAAACAATCAATATATATCAATTAATAATACAATCATTTCTCTTTATACATTAAATTTCTACAATTAGTGTACACATGCCTAAAATTAACGAACGTAAATGCAAATGCCAACTGCTAATTTGTTGGAGACCATGAAAGAAAGTGATCCACAACACCTCTATGTCAGTGGAACAGTGTAAAGTACACAAAATTACCAAATTTTGAACTCTTGTGCAAAAGTGCACTGTTACTTCGGGGACCATGAAAGAAAGTGTGTATTAAACCAATATAGTCACTAGAATGATTACAAAGTTATCAGTTTCATTATTATAGTCTGTTTTGTGAGTAACCAAAAACCAAGTGTATTTACTCTTCTTTTTTTTTAAATAAGTTTTTTTTTTAAAAAAAAAAAAATAGCTTGAAGATAGTACATTTCTCAACATCAATGTATTCGTATGAAAGTACTCCTCCAAAAACATAAATACAGGATTGTTGTGTTCCATACAACTGTCCTATCTTTACACTGGCGCCCTAGTTCGATGAAAATTAATTATATGCTCTCTTCTTTTATGAAATCAATTATAGGTGATAGTTGGAAGCAGTAAAAAAAGTAAAGGCACAAGGAGAGGAAAAAGAAATAGAGAGTGGAAATAAGAAAAAGAAGAAAATGCAATAGAAACCTTTCAATTGGTTATATAATTAAATTGGTCCCAGATTTCACTCTCAACAGAGATTTCATATAGTTCAAACACTGCCTATTGATACATGTTAACGACACACAACGCCTATTTTTTAAAACCATATATAATTCCAAAAAAAAAATTCACTTTTTCTTTTCTTTCTTTTTATAATTTAGGTGCCACAACCGTGCATGACAAAAGGGATTATTTACGAGAAAGCCGAAATCATTAATCGCCTAGCCTAAGAATGTCTTTTTCCTTCTATCACGACCTTATATTTTGAGAAATTTTTATTTCCACATGTGAAATAGAAGCTAATGATTGTATGAGTACCTTCAATTTTATTAAATCATACTTAATATCAAAAGGAAATTCCTTTTTCTTTTCTCTATTTTTATAATTTAGGTGCATGGGTTTAAATCTGAACCAATAATTATCGGGATTTTGGACTTCCGATACCAATATATAGACCGATTGTCTGATACCGAACAATATATAACAGTATCGTAGACATCGATACATATACCGGTACCATTATTTAAAACCATATTTAGGTGCTGTAGCAGGGTATGACAAAAGGGCTTATTTCCTACCAACACAAAATCACTAATTGCCTGGGCTAAGAAATTTTTTCCTCCGCTAATTCTATCATGGCTTAATATTTTACAATTTTCTTTTTCCCACAGATGTGAAACAGAGGCTAATGATTTTAAAGGTACCTTCAATTGACAGCTCATAAAGGCTGCGCTTGCGAACTTCTTTACATTTTGGCTTCAATCGAGTGCCAACAGAACTGTCTAGAATTCTACGATCTTTCTCACTTCCGTCATCTGTTTCTTTCTCCAATGTATGTGGTACATCATCAAGCTCTTTACACCCAGGGAAGCGTGTCTCTGTTTCCTTCATAGAACTGTCAGGAACAAATTCCTTACATACTGTGTCATCATAACCTTCACTGTCTCTCTCCTTGAAATTAGAGAATTTATCAATGCATTCATTGCTTCTTCTAATATTTCTCTTCTTTGACTTCTTTACCGAAGTTAATTTTAATTGGCTTTCAGCAAGTGTACATCTTCTAGTTGCTTTAAGAATCTTTCTGAGAGGAACAAATTTCACAGGTCTTGATGAATTACCATTAGAAATGACACCATACTTTCCACATACTATAGGCCTCACCTTCCCTTCACATATACCCACCTGCTTGGTTGAAGAGATTATCATACAATCAGCTGAATTAGATTTTGCAACTATTCCAGTATCAGCATGATGTGGCTCTCGCATCTGGAACGGCTTAGTAGATGGAAAAGTCCAATCCAATCTGAACCTTTTCCTACTAGAGTTTTCAGGGACTTCAAGACGATCATCATCAACATTTAATTGAATCCGATCATTTCCCCCCTCTCTGTCATTGTGAAATCTGTGAAAGGCTCTTTTACGAGAGATGATCTTGGTCGAACACAACACAGATTTCTGCTTGAAATTAGGTCCAACAGAACAAGCACAATTATGAGGCCTTCCTTGGTCAGGTTGAAGCCACATCGGCTCATCTTTGGATGATTGGGAGTGCCAAAGAGCACTACTACCAATACATTTTCTAGATTCTTCATTGACTGAAGGAAAAACAGAGGCAGGAAATGATGCATTTAGCATCTTCCATTTTGTTGGCCGTTTACTCTTTGCAGATTTGAAACCCTTCTCAAAATTTTGTATATGATTCCTCTTTTCAAGAATGGAAAGCCCAGTAAGGGATTGATTTCTGACATTTTTCAATATTAATGAGTCTCTAAGCCTAAGCTCGTCAATAAGACTACGAGATGATTGATTAGGTAACGGTTTGGAAGATCCTTCATTCGCTGAGTTGAATTTACATGCAAAACCAAAGAATTCCGAACTTTCACTGTCAGGTGGATCATCAGATGACCAGCATTTATCAATCACTGATCCTTCATCAACTACAAGATTTTGTGTACATTTACCTCTAGCTTCAATGGTAGAATAGTCCAAGTTATTGAACTCCACTGATGCCTGAGTAACAGCAGGGGCAGAACACCCAGAAGAAATATTAGACACCTCATGCTCTTTCGAGGACTCAGCATCTTGGGCAGATCTGTCAAAGCATTTAGTAGCAGCATCAGCAATTTGGGAAGATCTGTTAAAGCATTTAGTAGGAGCATTAGCAACATGGTCCCCGATATTTCCCCTCATATCCAATAAATCAGCTGGCCGATCTTTGCATGCCACATTGCACATCCTTGTCACCTTGCTTGGCACATCTCTCCACTGAAAATCATGAGAGTCAACTTTCTTCTTCACTTGACCCTCCAAATTTCCACTTTGATCAAAGGAAATAGCTTTCTCCTTAGGAAAGGTAGAATTTTCTTTAAACTTTGGATCAAAGAACATAGAGGCCATGCCATTTCCAGTCCTTTCCTTGGAGGCACCGTTGAAGGTTTCCCCTTTGGAATTATGATTTCCCCCTTGACAATTTGTCTGGACAGTGCAGCCACATTTGCCTTGGAAATATGTGTATGGTACTCTCTGACAACATTTTCCATGTTCATTTGGAGGAGTAATGTCATTATCAATTCTTCCAGATCTGAGATGTTAAAAAAGTTTTAGAAGCTTTTGTTAAGGAGAAAGGTGCAGTTAGCCTATGAATGATAAAACATAAAGTGTGCACCTCCATTCATTGCAGTAGATACAGTCATGTAATAAAACCTCAGGAAATAGCCCAAAATATGGATTGCCTTATTAAATATCACAGGATGCCATATGAATTTAAATTCACAAAATTATCAATAGATTAAAGAATATATCCCAAAATATTGACCACTGTATCATTCTTTATAAAATCTCGCCTGTTTCTCCAAGAACAATGCAGCTATACTATACCTCTACAATTGTTAAGAATCATGGTAATTACAACCTATCAACCTTAAATACTTTAACCATACACTATTTTTTGTTCACCTAATTTAATTTCTCATGCTATCATTGTCATGAAATGATGAGGGGAAAATCAGTGTCTCTTTTTTTGGCACTGCACGAAAGCAAAGCATATGCCTCCAGAATCCCAGATCATGCATAAAAGACAGACTCTCTAGTATCATGCAGTATTTCACAACCAAATTCTCTCGAAATGACAACTATTTTGCCAAAAATATGTGATATACGAGTGAAATCTACATTCCTAATTTTGACTCACCAGCAAAGTGATTTTCCTTGTACACTTGATGCCCACATTTGATGTAGCACAGTAGAGAATCTTACTGCTACAGATGATAGTGGACCCAAAAAACACTCACATACCAAGGCCAATTTTTGCACAATCAGATATTCCACAGATTCTACAATTTCCAGCAAGAATGACTAGAATATCACAAGCTACAAGGTTAAAACCAAAGCCCAAATATGAAGCTTCCTGGAGGAAGAGAATAATACAGAAAAACTAAAATTTCTTATTTTCTAATTTTTTTTTAATCATGGAACCGTCATCCCAAAATCTTTATTACATAAGGCTATAAATAAAGACCTCATTTGATTGCCAGCTTGGAGAGGGGATTGGTAATACAATGGGGCCCCACATGTTTTTTCATGTCCCGTAATATCATGTTTATTTCAGAAACGGGATTGGGATTCTTAGTAGCATGGTATTAATCCCACAAAATGGTGAGATTAGCAACACCACCACCCGTGATATTACTAATCCCATGGCCATGAGGTTAGTCACATCACTCCATCCAATGGTCTAAAATAATTCTCCCCTCTTATCACATGCTATATCCTAACCTAATCAAACATGGTACAAGTGCTCCCACAATTTATATAATATCATCCCTTATCATGAGTATTATTAATCCTGAACTTAATCCCATGGTATTACCAATCCCCAACAGTACCTAAAAATCTTATATCAGTTATCGAACAAGGCCAAATGGTTATTTAGTAAATTGGTCCCCATGTAAGTTTCCCTAGTTACCAATTACTTCAGTACCAAGTAACTTCACCCTTAAGCAAATCTAACATAGCAATTACTTAGACCTTAGAGTCTGAACCAACTTTTCAATAGTTCTATTATGTTTTTACTTGTTTTTAGTTTTGACTTGTTTGGGTTCTACTTAATAGTTATTTAGACCTTGTTTTTAGTCTTGACTTAAGGTTTAAAACAAAAATAAATAAAAGAGAGTATAAACAAAAACACTTAGGAAGTGAAAAAATGAAATGTTAATTGGAAATTTTGTGTGTGTTGGGGGGGGGGGGGACCACACACACAATAGAAAGCAGCCTATTAAGTAGAACCCAAACAAGTAAATCAATATGTAAGCCCAATTGAAACAAAATCAATAAACCCAACCCAAACCAGGACTTCATAAAAATTAAATCTGTTGATTGAAAATAAATTAGCTACTTCCGTTCAGAAGCCCAAGAATTCATCCTTAATGCCCACATCTTAAAAACATCAGTTTTCCAAATGCTAGAATATTCGCCTCTTGATTTAAGTTGTTAAAATACTTGAGGATAATAGAGTCAACAAGTAATGTGATTTGTGATTTTAAAAGTTCGTTGACACTTTTCCAGAACATGGAAGCCAATTGAGCTCACATCCAGTGCCCTGACTACCCTAGGTCAGGCAATATGTTCATTACTTCGTTTTCTCAAGTAGTACATCAATCATTAACTATGTTTCCTCAGCATTACCTTCCTGCTCTACATGACAAGTTTCATCATAATCTTCAGTTCTTTAAAAAACAGAATATCCGACATATTTTAAATTTGTCAAAAGCAATCAATTTCTTTGAAACTTTTGAAAATCATTGACCGCATGTTCAAGGTATTGGATCTTCTCACAATGATCTTGGAGCTTTGTTTCATATTTTCCATTGTAATCACGCTGAAAAATGTAACTCACGTCTTAAACAGATCTAGTAGCTCTAATAATCAAATTTGATGTGTGGGGGAAGCACTCTAGTCAAGGACAGATTTTGCACCACCTGATTTTCAAACAGATTCTACAATTGCCAGCAAGGCATCACAAATGTTGCAAGCAATGAGTCAATAATTATGCTATAAGAGGAAGGCAGAAATCGAATTAAAGGAGAGAGAGAGAGAGAGAGAGACTAATATTTGAAATTTCCCCAAAATATTTATTGCATTGGTTATACATAAAATGTTACAGCAACTGGCCCCCCAAGTAAGTTTCCTCAATTAATAATTACCTCATCACTTCAGTTCACCCTCAAGTCAAGGAATCCTGACATAATAATTACTTGGACCTTAACTAAAACCTATGCCCATTAGATATAAATCCATAACCCCAATCCTATACTCAGAAAATTACCAGATCTTTTTGCAAGTTCAATATTTCGAAACAGCCTCTTTTTTCCAGCCCAATGAATTGTCTTTCATGCCAAAAAATAACTACTCATCTTGAACATATAAGTAGCACTACTTAATGTGCCTCTTTTGTAAAAAGAACACATACACACAAACATAGCTTTCCAATAACATAAATACAACTCATGGATAAATCCATAAAGAAAAGCTTCCTTATAACTTGTCCAATAAACAACACAACCATCTTCAAGGGGCATAACAATATCATTTCATCACTGAAATTTTTCCCAAGAAGAATCTACAAAGATAATCAGAATCCTATATATATAAAAATGAATTTAACTGAAACATCAAATGTCAAGAAACAGGATATAGTAAAATAATCTGAATTTACCTCCCCGAGGGTTGTGCATGTTGATGGGAATCACAAGAGAGCTGGCACTGTGCATTTCGATGAAAATCACAAGAGAGCTGAAACTGCATTTCAATATTTTTACTATGTAATGATGTCCCTGGTGAAAAATTTGAGAGACCACACCACTTATTCAAGCCTAGACAAGCACCCAAAAAAAAAAAACCCAATTAGGATACTTAGTCCAACAGGAATACAAAAATTCAGGAGCAGAAAATATCTAAAAATCTTTAGGGCTTCAAATGAACTGAGTTGAGAACGGCCAGTACTGGCCTAATTTGGGCTTTGCTCCCTTAGGCAAGAGTTGTGTTCAAGCTCGGTTCCATTAACCTAAATCTTAAAGTTAAACCCTAGATCTAAAAGGGGAAATTTTAAAAAAATTTGAAACATTCAAACACATCTTGAAAACTTAAGGTCAGGATCTCTTTTATTTAAGAACATGATGGTACAAACAACATTCTCATGAAGTATTTGAGAAAAGGAGGATAAAGAAAATAAATCATTTTACTCTAAAATTTCTCTGACATACTCATATTAAGCTTTCCATTCAAATTTAACATAGTAGTTTCTCTTCCAAATATGTTATCCCAAACTGAAAACAAAAGAACAAGAAACTGAAGAAAAGAGAATAAGAGAGATCATGAACTTCCGAAGTAGTCCATTGCATACAATGTTGGTTTCTTTGAGGGAATGCATGATAACAACTGGTCTCCTCAAAAGCCTTATTTGTTTGATAGCTGTTAGATGAATTACCATATAATGGAGAAGAAATAATATATGGGGAAGAAGCAAGACCATAAGAATCCCAGTAGACTGTTGTTGTGTACCTGTCCTATCACTTCAGACACACAATTCATATACATCATATTTTATAGATATTATGCTTCAATGTTCACGAACTATCTTGGCACTGTTTGGGCTCAGCTCATTCATTGAACAAGCTTGAAACTAACGCTCAAGCTTGGTTCATTTACTGCATGAATAAACATGAACAAGCTCATACCCAAGTAATATTACCAGAAGATGCTAATACCTTGGCAATTTACATTTCAGAACTCACTTTTTGAAATATGGTACACTTTCGTTCCAAAACAATAAATTTAGTGATCCAAAGCAATCCCAATTTTTTTACTTATTTATTTCCTTAAAAGATTTCCTTATGAGGAAAAAAATCAAATATAATGAACTAAAATCTAGAAAAAGTTGGCGCTTTGGAAGGATAAAACATGAATGCAAACAAAAAAAAAAAGAGGTCATAATGCTCCTAAAAATGTGTTTTTACATATTCTAAAAAACAATTAATATATTATTGAAAAGTTGGCGCTTTGGAAGGATAAAATATGAATGCAAACAAAAAAAAAAGGAAAAAAAAAAAGAGGTCATAATGCTCCTAAAAATGTGTTTTTACATATTCAAAAAAACAATTAATATTTTATTGGAAGTCTAATCATTAAAAGAAATTCCTATAGAAGTAGCTTCAATTCTAATAGTGTAATCTACACAAAAATACCCCTACCATACCACATTTTAGAGCATGCGGCATACCACGTTCACATTGCACGTATAGGAACAATACATGTTCCAGTAACATAGAGCCCAAGCTACTCAAACAGTTCAGTTCATTGCAGCCCAAAATAGATTTCATCACCAGTGGAGGAAGAAAAATATAAAAATATATAATAAAAAAAAGAGCAAAAAATAAAAGAAAAGTAACAGCACATATACCTGATGCAGGAGCTAGAGTTTGAGTATCACTGACCATCCAACAACTATAACCAGACTGGAGTGATTTCACACCAACTTCAGAAGCAACCTGTTTACTGCTAACTGCAAGGCCATGCCATTGTTCTTTTGATGCCGATGGATCAGTAATAGAACGCTGTATTTTCTCACCACAAGAGTTGTCAAGTCTCCCTTGATCCTGTTTTGTTCCATGGGAAGCATTGGCATGTCCTTGATTAGATAACTCATTTATATGCCTTAATGCAAGCATTCTCAAATTCTCATCCACCAAATACGGGCTTATACCACTGCACTCTTTGTTTGACAATGCTGGAGACGTATTTGATACAGAGGTTGAAGTTGTTACAGGAGACCCAACTGAGACTGCTTGCAAAGGCAACGTTGGTCCAGAATCCATTGGCAAACTCATGGACCCAAGGAAAACATGATCCATATGTCGATTGAACCCAAGGCAAGGAATCTTCCCCGAATGGTTGAAGGGATTTCTGGCATTACATACATCAGGTGGCACTCCAGATAACAGGTATGGATGAGAACTCTTGTCATGTGCCACTAAACAACCAGGATGACCAGTTCTACCAACTCCATTACAATTAGTTGAACATTCCATATGTTTTGTGTGAAACTCATAGTTTGGTTCAGTTGCAATGCGCAAGCCATCAGCAACAAATGCCACCTCTTTTCCTTTGTCCACATGCTTTTGAAGATCCAATTTATTAATGTTTAGTGGAGTTTCTATAGCATTGCCTCTAGTCCACAGAAAATTAGTTGGGTCATATTTGGCAATATGAGATTCACAATGTGGTGTTGCAGTCATAACATGATTGCCATCGACCACACCACTAGCAGCTTTAGACTGCATCCTTCCATCAGTAGGAGTTTTAAATTGGGAAAGTAACATTGAAAGGACCAAACTTCTATCTACATCACCTTTCAATTGCTCTATTATAGCAGCATCTCTTGGATTATTCATTCCAGGTGCATCATTCACGAGATTCAACTGGCTTTGTCCTCTTCTTCCACTGGAAATAGATGAACCAGCTGCATGCTGAAGATGTTGACTGCGCTCCTCCACTACCATGGAATTGCCTGGTGCATTTATAAAACTGGAAATAGTCACTCAAACAGTGGTTAGCAGCCGCCCAACCCCCCACCCCAAAAAGTTAGTAGTAGTAGTTTTATGATGAAATAACAAATCCTATAAAGACAACAAAATTAAAGAAAACATTGTTGAACGCACTTTTATGAATCAACTGCTCTGGCAAGAAAGATTTCTGGGGATCACCACATTTGTCAAACAGATGAGATCTAAAGGCTGGCAAAAGAGGATTTCCTAAAGTCCGACTCTGAGGAGATGGTTGCCCAAGTCTCAGCTCAAAGCTTGAGGAAACTGTGTCTCTGTCCACAACATTCCCGTCCTTCAAATTGAATAATCTGCTGGAATCAGAATCATTACCAGATGATTTAGAGTTCTGCAAGTTTTGGTGGGAAATGAATGATTGTCCACTCTTAGTGATTGAATCAATGTAAGCAGAAATAGAGTGACAACCATTATCTGGATCCCTTACACCAACAAACTTTGACATTGTCGAACACCTTGATAGAGGGCACCCCATAATCGGGTTATTTGCTACGGTAGGTAGATTGCTCTGTGAAGAGCCAATCAAGCCTTTGCACAAAAAATTATGACTATCCTGATCACTCCTTTGTTTTCCATTAAATGAAACCTCATCAGCCAATTTCGGAACAGTATTAGGTTTCTTAAGATATGCACCGTTGTTCTGAGGCTGTCCAAAGCCTATTAAGCCTCCAGAAGAACCAGCCAAATTACACAGATCAGACTTTTTGGACATGTTGTTGGACGCTTTCGCACTGTATTTCACCATACCAGCCGTTGTTGAGAATCCTTCAGGCCAATCCCATCCATTGTGATCTTCTGGAACCCTAATCTAAAGCATCATAAAAACATCACCACCCATTGTTCTCGAATCTTCAAACACATGCCAATAAGAAATACAGTTTTCAATTCCAAAAATAACGAATAAAGTGCAGTCAGTGAATCTTATCAGCCACCATGGAAAATTTAATTTTAGTAGACAAAATACATGCATTATCATGAATCCACATTGTCTCTGTGTGGCTAACTTATGTGGGCAAGCACATGTAATGCCAAACTAAACCATCAAATTACAGAGAAATGCACCAGAGGATAGTTTATGGGAAACATCAAATGACTCTAAGCCATGTTATATCAACAGGCTTTTTCATCTAGCATTCCCCATTGAAGAGAATTTCACTCAGAACCACACATGGAACGAAGGATATTATCTAAGTTTGAATTAGGTGTCTCAGTGGCATTACACTGCACAAACCCTTATAACTTATCAGTTCACTTCAATACTACTGGTTCTGGAAAATGAAATTAAAAAGAAAAACTTACAGCAAAAATATTAGTACCAAATAACTATATTATAGCTAAAACATCAGGGCCAAATACAATAGTAAATCATGGAGAGAAGAAAAATAAATAAATCACTGAAACAACGGAATAAGAAATTATGACATCTATTGGTTTAGTTCAACCATTGCAACTTGCAGGTCACATTTCAAGACATCAATTCATCGTGGTAGTTGGCTAGCACACCCCAACTTGCCACTAATTTGACAAGCAAAGGATGGCAAACCAGGATAGGATAAAGACCATTATGACAAGTACAACCCCCGGCCCTTTCCAAAAAAAGCGTCCAACAGAGTTTAGGATCTGAGTTGCATACACTGCCCTAACCCAACTATTAAAGATACAAGGCAACATAACTTGCATGCAATAATAGTACATGTGCTTCTAAAACAAAAGGCTATATAAAGCCACTGAGAGCCCAGTACGTATCCAGTGTTATCCTCATTACTAGCTGCCAAGAGACTGTCATTTTACAGCCTTGACTTTAACATAAAATAATGAACCCTTTTCCCTCATGTTTGTGTGAAGACAAAAGAGAAATCCAGCTCCATAGAAAGGCCAACTCCCTCACTGTCACTTCCCTCATTGTCTCTAGGCATGTGTTGTTGGTAAACGCCGACTCCAAAGTCAATTGACAAATCATAGTTTAGGATCAGCCCAGACCCACACCATTGCCACCCCTAATTTCATCAGGTTTGACATCTAAACAGAATATAAAAGGGTCTCATTACATTTCAGCATGCAAGATCAGTGTTGGCCAGCATGCTACTTTTGGTAAACCCTTGCAGGAGCAATTTAGGATGTAAAAAGAAAACATTGTACAATACGGTAATCACCTATGTACACACTAATTTGTGCAATCCACAAAGAGATGCATCGCAAGTGTTACTAACAAATACCAATACATAGGACCTTGTTTGCTAACGTTTTCAGTTTTCAATTTTTTGTTTACAAAAAACAAGAAATGGGTTTTCATTTATTTTTGTAAAAAATAAAATAAGAAAACTTGTTTGGTGTACAAAAATATTTTGAAAACAAATAAAAAAATAGAGAAATATATTTGATGAGTTGCCAGAGTTGGTGGCTAGAGATGGAGGGTGGACGATTGTAGGGCGGGTGACCGGAGGTGTCCGTTGAAGTTAGTGTTTGGATGTTGTTGAAGGTCACAAGGTGGCTGGAAGGACTCCAAAAGGTGGCCAAAGATCACAACGGTGACGACCCACCTGCCAGAGAGTGGTCGGAGGTTGGTCGGGGCTCTCCAACCACCAATGGTGGGTGGTGTTGGTCGGTGGCTAGTGGTGGTGGTAGCTGGTGATTGGAGGTGGTGGATGAGAGGAGAAAATGAAAACTTCTTTTAAAAACAAGTGAAAACACATTTTTTGTGTTTTCAAAAAATTTGAAAATTTTGAAATAAATTTCATTTTTTTTAAACGAAAACAATATACCAAACAAGTTTTTGTTTTCAATTTTCAAAAAATATAAAACCAAAAAAAAAAAAAAATCCTAGCGATATACATTTTGGTAAGCACGTTTCAAATATGGTATATTTCGTTCCATAATGGTAAATGTAGTGACCCTATAATATTTTTCCTATAAATTCATCAATGTTTTCCTTATTAATGACGAAAAAAAATCAAATATAAGAAACTAAAATCCAGAGAAAGTGGAACTTTGGCAAGGAAAAATGTTAAAAGGGGGGTTATAATCTTCTAGAAATGTATTTTACGTAATCAATTTGAAATAAAATAACCATATTTTATTGAATATCTAATTGTTTTAAGAAAGTTGCTAAAAAATACATTAAATTCTACTAGTGCAACCCATACAAGTCTACCCCTATAGTAACACATTATATAACATGTAGCGTACTACATTCCTATTCCTGTTCCTGTTCCCATTCCACATGCTGGAACCATCCATGCTTCAGACAAACATAGTGCATACCTATTATAATAAAGCATGACATGCTGAAGTCTTTCAATGAAGAATAAAAAATTAAGGCTGTGTTTGGTTGTGATTTGAAAACGTGATTCTACACCATAGTTTGAGTATGATGTTTGTTTAGTGTTTTGGAATCACGTTTCAAACGCTCTGCAGAGAGCGCTGTCTTTGCTTTGTCTTAGCCGCGCATTTCAGCGTTTTTTTTTTTTGAAAATTTTACCTGACAGGACGTCCGGCCGGTCGTCCGGTTGACCAGAATAGTGAATTTTTTTTTTTTTGCAATTGATTTATATAATCGAAAAAAACATTTTCTAAAATTTTTAAAATTTTTTTATGTGCTTTAAAATAATTTTGAGTTGTATGTTTAGTTATGAGTTGTAAATTTTTGTATCACATATCAAATGTCAAATCAATAATTCCCCACTCAAATCAAAACCCTTTTCAAAACTATTTTCAAAACTCTTTACCAAACAAATTTTCTACACTCAAATCATAATTCCACAACACACAAACTCAAAATACAACTCATACTCTCAAATCACATTTACAAAACTCTACCAAAGGCTACCTAAATAGTTAAAGTAGATGTACATCTTACCCCAAACTTCTGGAAGTAGAGCTTTCGCCAACGAGCTATTGTCTCACCGCTGTCCATATGAACAGCATCCCCAGGGTTAACATCACGTAAACCTGAATGCTGCATAGTAATTGCAGTTAGAACAGTCTTTCAACACAAATACACATTCAAAGATGTGCCAATTAGTCAGAGTGTTAAAAATATATCAGATCCTATAACTGTTTACACCGATAGACGAAATCACTAAAGTTACCTCAGAAAATTTAGCAATAGACATATGTAAACCATGACACAAGCAAACAACACCAAGAAGTCCTGTATTGCTGAGAAGCAAATCCCCACCTAAACAATCAAAACAATCATTAGAACAGAAGAACATATCGAGTGAAAAGAGTACCAGTAAACTAACATCACAGATGAAGGTTTGAGCACTTACTTGCACTCAAACAAAACACACGAGGGCAACCACTTGTAAGAGTAGATGACCGACAAGAAACAGATGAGTTAGTCTCTAATAGAGTATTTTGTGATGCCTGAGTACTATTGCCATGCAGCTTCCCAGCATTCGCAGGGCTCGTACTAGAAAACCATCCCCCACTCGGAATAGAAAAATCCCTCTCATTGCGGCCATCAGAGCAACAGATCACTGGCTTAGCAGACTCCGAACTCTGATGATTCAAGTTTGCGGCCTGAAGAACATCCAGCAAACTATACCCACTGCCATAATTGGCATTTTCAACTGCTCTGGATGAAACAACTGCACCAAAATGTGCTCCAGTTTTGGGGTTTTGAATGTTGAGATTTTGTGAAAATATCCCAGCAGGCACAAGTGAAACTCCACTTCCAGCAGTACCAAATGTGAAACTATTACCACTAACAGGAACTTTACTAGAAGAAGCTAATGGCTTGGGATTTGAATATTGCTGTAAATCACATTGCATCAACGATGGTGGTGCAGAAAGGAGTGACAAAAATGAATTTCCCAGGTCAGCATGGCCTGAGTTGGAGGAACATAAATTTGATGTCTTGGGAACAGTGGCTTCTTGTAAAATTGCACGGGCTGCAGGGCTTGGTTCTTGTGTTACATGTGGATAAAAATAATGACCAGCATTCCACATCTATATGAGGAAGAAAAGGATTCAAACTCACTAGGCCCAGTAGCAAAAGTGCATGTTGTTTGGCATGTGTGATGCCTTGAACAAAATATTACACAAACAGTATGCCTGTCTTTGACAACAATAATAATAATTCCACAGAAAAGTGCCCAACACAAAAAATTATAACCGCACCTCCAGAAAGGGTTCAACCCCAGGAGGATGCAAACAAATGAAAGCCAAAGGAAACTTATACACACAACCAAAACTCAACTCCACTATAAATAAACAAAAGAAAAAAAAAAAAAAACACACACACACACAAAAAATAAATAAATAAATCCTTCAAACCAAAAATGATGGGGGCAAAAATATATGTAGAGAAGAGTATGACTCTATTAAGACTATGGATCACCATCTCTACATATCAAAATCTACCACATCAAGCATAGAAACACTGCCATCCAACCTTTCGTCACCCTCTCAATTTGACATTCCTCTCCTAAACCCATGCCCAACTATTATAAACTACAGAAAATATCTTTCATCAACCATGTAACTTTAAAAATAGAAAATGGTATACTCCATAAATCTCTAGCCACCTCACAATGAACTGATGAAGTAACAATTGACTCACTAACTCCTCCACCCTCCTACAAAACACCCACAATTTGGGTAACATGAAAATCCTTTCCCCAAAATTATAAATAGAAGTGGGAGGCAAGACTATCCAGAATCAAGCAATGCATATCCAGCAGTTCCCCATGATTAATATTGAAACTGTCTCAAAACAAATCAAATTACACCTAAGAAGCCTCAACTGTTCCTCGTCACTAACAATCGACGAAATTAAGAAGTAATTCTAGAACTATTTTACAAAATTTTGATTAAAAAGAAAGTGTTTTTCAATTTATTGACGCCACTTCCCATCTAAAGGATGTGACTGCAAAAGAACATAATATATAAAACCTCACCAACCTTTCTTGTCTTTATGCCTGAATATTGGAAATGTTGATCAGATGTATTCAAACAACCAAACCAAAATTATCATAGACCACATTTCAATTACACAACAAATCACGTCCTGCAACACAAATACAAGTTTCAATTTAATCCATTAATTGGAAATTTGCAAACAACGATTATCTTTGCAGCTGATTCTCCTTAGTTTGCCCTAAAGAAGCAATCTCATTTCAAATCAACGACCAGGACAAAATAAATAAATAAAAACATCACATTTATCAATGGGAGAGCAGAGAAATATCTCTTTTTTCTTTTTTTCTTTTTCCTTTTTTCCCCAATTTTATAATATTATGGCAGTTTATATAAACAAACATTTCATATTCCAAACCAAAACCCCCCAACCCCCCCCCCCCAAAAAAAAAAATCCAAATTTAATTGTATCTTTTCAGATTACGAAGAACATTGCATTACCACATTGTATCACAAACAACTATGGATAAACAGAAACACAATTTTTCACCATTCAAGCTCATCAAAAATAAAAATGCATGCAAACAATCATCAAACGGCAAGTACAATCATTAGATTACCTGATTTCGAGGCTCTTGCAGCTGCAGTTGTGACGACGATGAAATCGATGGCGTCAAAGACTGCCATGACGAACTACATTTCATCTGCCAAGAATTATCCATATCTCAAAATCAAAAACCCTAACCTTTCTCGATCAAAACCACGCAAACCATCGAATAGCGTCTCAAATGTCCTCGGAACTCCCAAGCAACGATCGACGGCGACTGAGACGGCTCTCAAACAGAGCAAGAACCACAAGTAGATCAGATAGACCAAAAACGAATCTGATAATGAAGAAACCCTAGATTGACCAGAGACAAAGATATATAGCAGAGCAAAACAGAGACACAGAGAAGAGATAGAAAATGATAGAGGAGAGAGAGAAAATGTATAGATACAGAGAGAGTATAGAGAAAATCAATAGATACAGAGAGAGAGATAGATAATCAATAGATACAGAGAGAGTACAGTGGAGCTTGGAAGAGAGAGAATTGAGGAATACACAGTGAGAGTGAGAGAGAGAGAGAGAGAGACTTCTAAGACGAGACCGAGAAAAAGAGGGATTTTTAGAGATTAGAGAGAGAAAGTGATGAACAGTGAGAAAGCTAACCTGTTGGAAGTACATCGAGGCAAGCTGACCTAAATGAAAGCGTGACGCGTGTAGTGGATTTAAGAAACACGAACCGTACGATCTGTTTCAAGCGGCGGTGGACCGTCGATCGTGATTACAGCTCTGCTTGGGAGAAAGAGACAGACTGTAGCGTCACAAGACAATTATCATCGACGCGCGTAAAAAAGAAATGGACCCACTCAAATAATGATCAACTGTGTCGCAGACTACAGAACATAAATGGTCTGGCCCAACCAACTAGGACTTCGTACATGTTGTATTGGTCGATTGGTGGAGACAGAACCTATTTGGTGGACCTACGTTGTATTGAGCCAACCTGGTATCCCAAAAAGTGTATTCAACCCGTACACGTGTTCTCTGATGATTGGTGGTGGTTGGTTGGCAAGAAAGGATGGAACTGGTCCACAAATGCCTCCTGTTTGGTTCGCGGGGGACAGTTTCCTGGAGTAAGTTTTGCTTACCAAAAAGGGGTGGAAAACTTTGTCCTGGATAGGGATAGGGATAATGATAGTGATGTTTGGTTTGAGCACAATAAATTATGGTCATTGGGTGTAGGGGTCTAATAATTGGAAGTAGTGAAACATATAACATAGAAGAGGTGAGAATTGCAAATAATAGTCAAGATGAAGGAATTGGTAGTCAGTGGGGAAGTATCATATGTAAAATGATAGAGGAAATTGGTATCTTTCTCTTATTCTAATTTTGTTCTGATTTGCTCTATGTAATCATAGAAAAAATGCTCTGTTTGTAAGGACCCTGGATTTGTTTAAAGGTCAAACAATCATTACAGTGATGCTATGTGGTATCGAATTATGTGAGAATACTTTTCTTTGCAAGGCATTATCTCCTCTAAAAACGTTTTTTTTTTAAATCCCATTACTTCTTATTTTTTTATATATTTTTTTATAAAAAACTAAAAAATATACTTATTTAAATCATTTAAAATATTTTTTAATTATCTGATTTATAAAGGACATTATTTGGCATCTCCTATAAAAGTGTACTTTTTATTTTTTATATTTTTTTGTCACATTTCATTTCTATTTTTTCACATATCTTTTCAAAAAAAATCAAAAAATATATTTTAGATCATCCGAAACCTGCTCTAATTGTCTGATGTATGAAAATAATCCTTGAGTATTACTCAAACAAAGACTACTTAATTTCCTTGAGTATTAAGACTTTATTTCTTTTTAGAGGCAGGCCTTCGGATTAGGTTTGCTAGTGCGTTGTTAAAATCGTATTTGTTTGCAAAGTGGAGCTCCGAATTATTAGTCCCTTGGGTCTATGAAAGGCCTCACACAAGGATACTTATAGTGAGCTTAGGATAGTGATATTGAGAAAACTATTTTGCCTTGAGATTAGAGGAGAATAAACTATTTTGCCCTCATATTATTCTACCGAATTTACTTATTCTACTTAGTTAGTGTGGTCATTCCTCTACCATATTTTTAGTTTTTAATTCTTTTACCATTTTTGAGTCTCACCATTCTTTATATCAAAATAATTTAATATCAAAATAATTTTTAATGTTAAAATATATCAAAAACAGTAAGGGTATTTATGAAATCTCATATAGTTAATTCTATCATAGAATGACAAAACAAACATGAATTTTTACTAGTCCGGTGGTTATCAAACAAATACTATTTTTTTTAGTCCCCTCATTAACAATCACCACACTACATTGTTTGGTATGATAAATATAAGTGCACTTATTTAGATAAGTGTACTTATTTAGATCACATCACCTCTTTACTTTTTTATACATCTTTTAGTAAAAAGTCAAAAAATATACTTATTTAGATCATCCAATAGGGGGATAATACTAGTCCAAAGGAATAGCTAATCCCCTCACTCATGTTCCTAACCAAACATTATTTAAGTGGATTTTACATATTATTAGTTTAATCTCCCTCTCTAAAAAGCCAAACAAACATGACCTAAAACCAATCCGACCTTAAGGGTGATAGGTTTGTCAATGACTCAATTGAGAGGGTAAAAAGTATAAATCTAGGCCGAGCTAGGACCGGGTAAAGGTAAGCCAAGCTGTGGGCTAGGTGGAGTAGACTTCGCCATTGGGCCTAGTTAGCTCAGTCTTAAAATAACTCAGCCCAGTTAAAGTATGCCGAACCGAGGTACAGGAAGCAAAAGGGAGGAACCGAGATACAGGAAGCTAAAGGGGGGAATCGAGCTAAGTGAAGCTCGGTCAAATCTACCGCTTAAGCATGGCAATATTAGCTCAGTCGTTTTGTCATACTACCGAGCTAAAACCATTTCACTTGGTTAAAGTAGTGATAAGGGTGTTCAGGGATAAGCATTATCTCTTACAAATGTGATTTCTAGAAGGACTCTACATTGGGGAGTAAGAGTCCTACTAGGATTGTGCCACACAGAATCTATAAAAGCTCATAACAGGACCTATGTACATGTATTGCAACTCTGATTCTTGAACACACAGAGCTTTTGTCTATTTGTCTATTTTGCGAACTTAGGCATCAGGTATCCGGTACACATCCGCCGGCTAGCTCACATTTGTGTTTTCAGGGAATAAAGCGACGACGTTTGGAGGAACGCAGACTTGATCAACAAGATTATACGAGAACATTATTTTGTGCTCATATAATTGGCGGCGTCTGTGGGAATTACACAAAGAACAAAACCTTTTGATCGAGCTTTCCCCTCTAGTTGAGATCAATGGCGCACAATGAAGACTTGCCGCAATATGCTATTGATGGGCAAACCCCGGAGGGGGCTGGGAGGCGCGAAGGTTTTCCTTCTGTCCCACCCATGGCAGATTTAGAGCCCCAGCGACGGAACTGCCGAAGAGACGCAAGGGAGAGACGGAGCGCAAGCCCCCGTCGCTCTCAAAGTCCTAAAAGGCAGAGGCGGAGGATGGACCCTCAAGTTCTGGAGGATCGCATAAAGGAGCAAGACGAGTTGATACGAAGGATGGCGGCAAACATGGAGTCAACAAAGCGCCAGATAAAGGGAAAAAGGGTGGCGACAGGAGAGTAACGCAAAGGCAACATGCCCCTTCGCCACTCAGAAGATCGTGACAGACATACCACACCATCACAAGCAGAAAGTAGGAGCCTTAGAACAGGCGACACTCAATCGAGGACTTCCAGGACTCGTTACTCCAGGTCTGAGAGAACGAGAACTGAGAGGTCGTGTACTGAGGGAAACACCTATTGGCCCTCACACACGCACCAGACGAAATCTAGGCACACTGAGTTGCCTAGATCATCTGACCTGCGAACAGTACTTGAAGAAAGGGCCCGATGGAAGGAGGACACCAGGGCTCGCGAACCATGCAGAGTTTCAGCGCTACAGCAATTGGCCCCTAGGACACATGGGAGTGTCGAGGTAGGAATGTCAATGTCACGCCTTGCTTATGAACCAGTGGACAAAGTATTAGCAAGGTTACAGAGCTCGCCGTTCATTCCGGCAATAGAGAACGCACCACTGCCTTCAGGCTTCCACCAGCCCAAATTCACTACTTATAAGGGCAAGACAGACCCCTACATACACTTAAGCCACTTTCGCCAGGTTATGGCAGTATACCGGCGAAACGAGACCCTGATGTGTATCATGTTCCCATTTAGCCTTGGCGACCTAGGTCTAACCTGGTTCGAAAGGCTACAAGAAAGCAGCATCGCCTCATGGGCACAATTGGTAGAGGCGTTCGTGACTAGATTCAGAACAAATACCAAGACACCGATGGAGATTGATCAGCTACTCTTCATTGACATGGGCGAAAAGGAGACATTGAGGTCTTACAACAGTCGATATTGGGAGACTTTTAACCAAATAGGGGATTGCCCTACAAATCTCACCATCGCACAATACAAAAGGGGTCTACCAGTCAGAAACAAATTAAGGGACTCAATTACTATGACGCCACCCCTCACAGTGGAGGCCCTAATGGAGAGAGTGCACCAACATATTCGCGTGGAGGAACATAACGCCCGTGCTAAAGCAAAATCTGGCACAACAGTAATGCCAGATAAAAAGACTGCAGCAAAAGTCAATACGGTAGAACAACTAAGCAGGAGAGGCAGGCGGGCCAACAGAGAGGACCCAGACAAAAGGAGGTTAAGAGTTCGCACTGCCATGACCACAGTGTTCAATAAACCAATCTACCGGATTCTCAGTGAGATACGCAATGGGCATTTCGTCCGATGGCCAACTAAGTTGGGAGAAGCACAAAAAGACTATGACGAGAGGTCCCGGTGCACCTTCCATGATGAAAAGGGGCACCGCACTGAAAATTGCACGCCATTAAGGCAGCATTTGGAGAAGTTAGTGGCAGCTGGGCACCTGGACCAGTACATAGACGGAGGGACACAGCCAGCCCCCTAGAACCACAACAAACCAAATGGGATGCAGGTCGACGCTCCACCTCAAGGCGTAATTAACGTAATACATAGGATATTCGAACATGAGCGGGTATGTGAGCTTAAGGGGATGATAAAAAAAGGCTGAGCACTTAAGGGAGGTATTAAGTGCACAACCTGCCATCAAAAAGGGGATAACAGAGGCCACAAATGTCATATCTTTTTCAGACAAAGATTTAGCAAGGATATATTACTCTCACAATGATGCACTGGCTTTCATTCTACGCGCCAAAAATTTCGACATCAAGCGGATTTTGATTGACCAAGGAAGCTCATGTGAGATAATGTATTACGAAACCTTCAAACAACTGAAACTGGAGGACAAAGACCTGGCACCTGCAACATCTCCCATAATCGGATTCAACTCAATGCTAGAGTGGCCAGTGGGCAAGATAATCCTCCCAGTAAAGGCAGGAACCATGACAAAACAGGTGGAATTCTGGGTATTGAAAGTCCCTTCCACTTACAACATAATCTTAGGAAGAACATGGTTGCACGCCATGCAATCAGTAGCGTCAACC